ATCCCAGGGGTCCCCACTGTCCAGGCTTTCCCTTCTCCACGCCCCCTGTTTCAGGCTCCCGGGGGTCCCGGGGCTCCTCCCTCTCCGTGCTCCCCCCTCCAGGCTGCCGGGGGTCCCCCAGCTCTAGCATTGCCCCGCTCCGCCCTCCACACTCGGCAGCTCCCGGGCTCCACACCCACCCCTGGCACTCCTTGGGGGGCCCCAAACCCGCTGTGTCCCCCCCGCCGGCACCGGGCTGACAATGGAGCCGGCGGGGCCTGACCCAGCAACACCAACCCCCATCGTGGGGGGGACCTGCATCCCCCACCCACCACTGGGGCTCTGCCCCCAACCCAGCTCAGCACCCCCAAAAATTGTCAGAAAATTATAGATGCATTGCCAGGAGACCCGTCTGTGGCTGATATGGTATCTGCATGTTCCAAAGTGGGTACTGTAGATCACCAAATGACTGCCCTTGCTGCAATTTTGTGTCCTACCCCACGATGCTATAACTAATAGAGAAGGACACCTTAAGGCTAACTGCCCTGGTAAAAGCAACAGGGAAAAGCCAAAGGTCTTACCTAATCCTCCTGGTATTCATTGTAACCATGGTGGGAAGCTAGGACACTTTGCTACACAATGTCGCTCTAAGTTTCATGCCAATGCACAGCCTCTCCAGGGAAATGGGAAAGCCAGTGCGAGGAGGAGGTGCCCTCAGACACAAGTACCTTCACTGCCACAGTACAACCCGTATGCACCCCCCGTGATGCTCCCCCCTGCTACCAGCTCACAGGGAAAACCAGCAGAGCAGCCAGTATGGATGTGTCCACCTCTGCAACACTAACAATTTCTTCTACAGATGTTGTCAAGGTTCCCTTAGATGCAAAGGGACCTATCGGACGTGGACTGAGTGCTCTGTTAATCGGGTGCTCAAGTAGCACAATTTCTGGGATAATTGTACATGTTGGGGTAATTGATGCAAACTATACAGGACAAATCTGTGCCATGGTCTCTACCCCCTACTCTCCTGTTACTATTCCAAAAGGAACTCGAATTGCTCAACTTGTGCCTTTTGTGAGTTGTGTTCCCAGGACAGAGAACTGGGAGAGACATGCTGGAGGATTTGGATCAACAGGACCTCTGCAAGTATTTTGGTCACAGACTATTTCACACAAACGTCCACAGATGACTTGTGAACTGCGTAATGGGAAAGCCTCACCTTCTGCTGTTAAGCTGACTGGATTACTCGATACCGGTGCTGATATAAGCATCATCTCCATGTATAATTGGCCAAGCCCTTGGCCTCTGGTGTCCTCTGATTCAGGTGTTGTGGGGTTGGGGAGAACTACACAGTGTTACATTGCAGTTCATTTCATCCTGATTTGTAATCCAGAAGGGCAGGCTGCGACTGTAAGATCATATGTCACTCCTGCCCCTCTAACTCTGTGGGGAAGGGATTGTCTGGCTCAATGGGGAGTTAAAATTACCACGGATTTTTAACTGGGGCCACTGTGCTTTTGCAGGGCGATAAACAGCCTACATTGGCACTTACATGGTTAACTGACACTCCAGTGTGGGTACCTCAGTGGCCCCTGTCCAGAGAAAAGTTACAGACCCTGCAGGATCTGGTCCAAGAGCAATTGGCTGCTGGCCACATTGAGCCATCATTCAGTCCCTGGAACACACCTGTTTTTGTTATACAAAAGAAATCTGGGAAATGGAGATTTTTACAGGATTTAAAGAAAGTCAATGCTGTCATGGCACCGATGGGAGCTCTGCAGACAGGACTCCCATCACCCACAATGATACCCCTCGACTGGCCGATAATAGGAATTGATCTGAAAGATTGCTTTTTCACAATTCCTCTAGCTGAGGCTGACAAAGAAAAATTTGCTTTTACAGTACCCTCTGTCAATAATGCAGAACCTGCAAAGCGATATCAATGGAAGGTTTTGCCTCAGGGGATGAAAAATTCACCCACTATTTGCCAGTGGTATGTTGCAAAGGCTTTAACTCCTGTGAGAATCCAGTTCCCGAAATGTTACTGTTTCCATTTTATGGATGATATTCTGTTCTCAGCCGAGCAAAAAGAAACTTTGTCT